AAAGGGTTTGGAGTTGGGGGGGGGGGGAGAGGAAGCACCTCAGAGCTGTTTCCAAAGAATCCCCCCATTTCTCCCCCCTCCCCACCAAAACGAGAGCAAGATGTCTCCCCCCCCCAGCCCTGACATGCCTTCCTGGGTGGGGGGAGGGGGCGCACCCCCCCCCTTCCCCCGCCGCCCCTTCCCCCCGGCTGTGGGGGTGTCGGGAGGGGGGGGCTTCGGGTCCCCTACCTGGTGATTCTCCTTGATGCCCGTCTCCGCCTGGCCGTGGCTGCCCATCATGTTGGCGTAGAGAGACCTGGATAAAGGGCTCCGGAGGTACCTGGCAGGGCCAGCCCACATCCTCTTCCTCAGCGCCCACAGAGACAAGGTGTAGCAGCCCAGCCAGGCCAGGCAGAGTCTCATGGGGGGGTGAGGCTCAGGGGCGGAGGGAGGGAGGGAAGGGGGCCGGGAAGGAAGTGGGGGCCCAGCAGGATCCCCCCCTCCCGCCGCCGCCGCCGCCTCCTCTTTTCTCCATGGCAGCAGCAGCCAACGCGGACGGCGAGCTCCCCTTCAGCGCCCGCAGCAGACACAGGCATACAGATTGCAGCCCCGGAACCCAAGGCGCGTGGCCCGGAAGACCGGGCCGGACGGGATTGCCGGGGACACCCACGGAGGCCTCTGCCCACTCCTTGCCCTCTTCCCCGCCTCGCGCGCACCGAGCCCGAGCTGTCCGCGTCTCAGCCAATCAGGGAGCAGAGCCCGGCGGCACCTGGCGGGGGCGCTGGTTTTAAAAACCCGGAGGCGGAGCCGGACGGCAAAGGAGGGGTGGGAAGCTCCTCCCCTCTGGCTTGCCGGACACACCCCTTTCTCCAGGAGGCTCAGCCAGTGGGCAGGTGCCACGCGTGCCGGTGCTGGAAAAGGGACGAGCAGAAGCCTGCCACGGAGTTGCTCTTACGCCGAGCGAAAATGTTAAAGAAAGCCAGCTGGAGCATTTCTTTCTTTCTTTTGCTTTGCTTGAAATATATTTTCGCATGTCTTGTTTTTATAAAATGGTATATTATGTCTCCTTTAAAAAAAAAATAGTATCGAGAACATGAACCATTCATAGGGTTGCCAGCTCTGAGCTGGGAAATACCTGGAGATGTGGGGGGGGGGGAGCTTGAGAGGGCGGGGCTTGGGAAGGACTTCAATGTGGGATAATGCCACAGAGACCACCTTGCAAAGTGGCCATTTTCTCCAGGTGAAGTGATCTGTCACCTGGAGAACAGTTGTAATGGTGGGAGATCTCCAGCCAGCACCTGGAGGTTGGCAAAACTGACTATTAAGACCAAGCAAACGAACATGGCACAGAGGCGGCATATTTTTTGTGTGAACCTTTGTGTCGATCAAACTCTTCTTTCAGGTGGGATGCTTTTAAAAGAGAGAGTGGGAACATTTAACCTGTAAAGGACTATGAAGACCAAGCAAAGGAACATGGCACAGTCTCCAAAGAGGCGGCATATTATTTGTGTGAACCTTTCTGTCCATCAAACTCTTCTTTTAGGTGGGATGCTTTTAAAAGAGAGAGAGAGTGGGAACATTTAACCTGTAAAGAGTTCTGCAGAACTTTGTGCACTGTATCTTTTATTTTGGGGGTTGTTTGTTGTCATCATGTCCAGTGTTCCGTCTAAGCTGAGTGAGCTAGCTCTCAGTTTTTTAGCCTCCGCCTCACCCATTTTTGTCTTGGCTCAGGAAGAATGGCTCCAGAGCAAATTAATTTATGCAGTAGTCAAATCGCTTGCTCACAACTTTAATGCCAGTAGCTCACAAAGTAGAATTTTTACTCACAAGATTCCACACCTTAGAGGGAGCATTGACTTATGGCCACCCTGTAGGGCTTTCAAGGCAAGAGGTGTTCACAGGCGGTTTGAAATTGCCTCTGTGCAGAGAGCCTGCGCTTACTTAGTGGTCTCCCATCCAAGCAGTAATCAAGGCTGACCCCAGAACTAAGTTTATGTCCACTGGCACCTTTAAGACCAGCAAGTTTAATTCTGGGTATAATTCTGGGAGCACAAGAAAGATTCCACCCAGAATTAAACTTGCTGGTCTTAAAGGCGCCACTGGGCTCAAACTTTGTTTTAAGGCTGACCTTGTTTAGCTTCCCAGCTCCAACAAGACCAGGCTAGCCTGCGCTACCTGGGTGACTGGTAGATGTTAATAAAAGGCTAGGACGTGGCTTCACACGTTTATTGCAGCAAAAGTTTATATGGGCTAGACCCCACATCATCAGCTCCAAGAAATGAGTTCATTTAACGAAGTGCGTGTCAGCTCACAAAACCTTTTGCTCTGAGAAATGTGCAGTCCTGTGCGCGTGTTACGTGCCATCAAGTCCCTTCCGACTAGGCTGACCTTGTTTAGCTTCCCAGCTCCAACAAGACCAGGCTAGCCTGCGCTACCTGGGTGACTGGTAGATGTTAATAAAAGGCTAGGACGTGGCTTCACACGTTTATTGCAGCAAAAGTTTATATGGGCTAGACCCCACATCATCAGCTCCAAGAAATGAGTTCATTTAACGAAGTGCGTGTCAGCTCACAAAACCTTTTGCTCTGAGAAATGTGCAGTCCTGTGCGCGTGTTACGTGCCATCAAGTCCCTTCCGACTCATGGCGAGCATAGGGATTACTGTCCTCCCAAATGTCCTCTCGTTAACAGCCTTGCTCGGGTCTTGCCAACTGAGGGCTGTAGCTTCTTTGAGAATCCATCTTGTGGGCAGTGTTCCCTCTAAGCTGAGTTAGTGTGAGCTAGCTCACAGTTTTTTTAGCCTCCGGCTCACACATTTTTGTCTTGGCTCAGGAAAAGTGGCTCCAGAGCAAACTAATTTATGTAATAGCCAAATCGCTCGCTCACAACTTAAATGCAAGTAGCTCACAAAGTAGAATTTATGCTCACAGGACTCCATAACTTAGAGGGAACATTGCTTGTGGGTCTTCCTCCATTTCCTGCTGCCTTCCACTTTCCTTGCATTATTGTCTTTTCCCAGTGAGTCTTGTCTTCTCATAATGCAGCCAAAATACAATAGCCTCAGTTTAGTCATTTTAGCTTCTAGGGAGAGTTCAGGCTTGATCTCAAACCCTCTCATTTGTCTTTTTAGTGACCTTTGGTGTCAAATGAATAATCTTTCTTCCTGCCAGCTTTCTTCACTGTCCAGCTTTTACACCCATACATAGTAAAGGGGAATACCATGGCATGAATTAACTAGATCTTGGTTGCCAGCAACACATCCTTACCAATGTTCCCTCTAAGCTGTGGAGTCTTGTGAGCAAAAAATCTTCTTTGTGAGCTGCTGGCATTAAAGTTGTGAGCGAGCGATTTGGCTACTGCATAAATTAGTTTGCTCTGGAGCCATCCTTCCTAAGCTAAGACAAAAATCTGTGAGCCGGAGGCTAAAGAACTGTGAGCTAGCTCACACTAACTCAGCTTAGAGGGAACACTGAATTCATTACACTTAAGAATCTTTTCTGGTTCCTTTGGTTGCCCGTCCCAGTCTCGGTCTCTCTGATTTCTTGGTTGCAGTCTCCCTTTTGACCGATGATGGAGACAAGGAACAGAAAATCTTTAAGTTTCCTCATTGACAAATGCAGAATTACTCTGCCCTTAAGTCCATTGCTATTAATGGCTTAGACTGAAATTAATTTTACACAGAATCACAGGGTTGACTTGGTAGTCTTTGAGATAGTGCAAGACTCTTTAGTTTTTACTTTTAGGGGTGGTGAATTATGTTAGCTGCACATGCTCAAAGGAACACACAAATCATGTCTTCAAGGTGCTTGTGGATTTGGAGTATGTGAGGAAGACACTGTGCCTTATGTAATGTATCTTACCTTCATATGATCATTTGTTTGCACTGATTCATTGTATTGTTCCTTTTGCATTACTTAATTTTGACATATGCAGCTGCACACGTTAGAAGTTGTATTGTTTGAAAAACTAATAAAAATTATTATTAGTGGGGGGGGGAACAGAGCAGTGCCACCATCACTAGGAGGGTGGTGCAAGACCCTTTTATTTGCCATATATTTTAACATGATAAAGACTGTAGATATCTACTGGGGAGAATGAAGTTATTTGGGACCTTATTTTTATGTTTTAAATTGTGATTTGCAAGCCACCTTGAGTCACAAGGGAAGCCAAGATGTAAAGGCTTTAGTAAATAAGTAGCAATGCAAAGCATGGCCTTTCATTTTATGTGCTGGAGCTGTTCTGAAACATTTTCAAATATCCCTTTAGCCAAAAGAACAAGCATCATCTTAGCTTTTTAATCAACGAATAGGATGTTGCAGAGTAAAGCCATATAGCACATGGTAAGAAGAAGGCACTCTTGAGCAGTATGTGATATAGTGTGTGCCAAGATGTAAAGGCTTTAGTAAATAAGTAACAATGCAAAGCATGGCCTTTCATTTTATGCGCTGGACATTTTCAAATATCCCTTTAGCTAAAAGAACAAGCTTTTTAATCAAAGGATAGGATGTTGCAGAGTAAAGCCATATAGCACATGGTAAAAAGAAGTAACTCTTGAGCAATATGTGATATAGTGTGCGCATGTGAGGTTTCTGGCCACCACCTTTGGCACGAGAGAACTGAGGTGTTGCACACCTGTCCCCATTTTCATCTGAAAAAATTAGAAGGCGTGAAATGCTCTGCTTCTGACAGAGCTCCTTGTTAAATGTCCACAGCTGTTCCTCGAAGGATTTTCATACTGGTCAGATGTTCAAGTCCTTGACAATATAATGGCAAATTTGCATCATGACTTTCCTTGTATTAGTTATGCCCCCAAACCAACAGCATACCTTGGATACATGCAATAAAATGCCAAACAACTGCATGAGGCTGTTAAATGTATTGCCCAATTTGTGTTTTAAATTCTTTTGCATTGGTCCTGTTTTTATTTTCAAAATGCAATCCGTTTGTACAGTTTTATGTGTAATGGCATGTATAAAATAAATTATTTCTAATTGCTCTTTCTTTTAGGACTGAGTCCAGGCGTTAAATCTCTGGTGCTCCTGTGTAAGTGGAGAACACCTGTTACTAGCCAAAGGAAACCCTCTGTACTTGCTCAGAAGCACTCTGATATTACTGCAAGCTTCTGGGACGCCGGACCCTTGGAACAAAAGTAGGTGCAATTTTTCCCCCAAAGTCAGACCCTTTGCTAGTAATTTGCTGTATAACAAATCAATGAACATTTGTCTATAGAACATAATACCTACAATACTGACTGAGAATATTTGCCTAATGTAGGGAATGTACTGGTATACATTTTATACTGATCTGGAATCAGTAAGGATCATTTGATACTGATCCAGAATCAGTAAGTTAAATAGTAAGCCACAAAATTAAACGTTCCATTGTAAAAGTTCCCTCTACTAAAGACTTGCTCACAGTACTTACTATGCATAACAAATAATCCTCATTCTTATACTTCATGAACTTGGCATGTACAAAAGCCTCAAGTCGCAGTGTATTTACATATATGCAGGAGAGACTCCGGCCAGATGGTACCAGAAAAAGCAGACTTTTGTAGCGATCTGCAGAATCCATTGACCAGAATCCATTAGTATGGTTCTAAAAGGGTTCTTCTAATGCTGTGGTGGTGAACCTATGGCCCGCATGCCAGAGGTGGCACTCAGAGCCCTCTCTGTGGGCACGCGCCCCATCGCCCCAGCTGCCCGGGTGGCCCGATTGGGCAGTTTGAATTGGGCACAGCAGACGTCGAGCCAGCAGGGGAAGAGAAGCTGGCTGCGCCCCACGACCCCCCTTCTCCTCCAAGGCGGCTGACCGCGATGAGCAGCACCAGCAGCAGCCTGCAGGAGGGAGCGCCTGCCCGAGTGAGTGCGCCTCTCTGCACCCCGGCGCCTCACCTCCTCTAAGCCTGCAAGCAAATGTCCCTCTCCTCCTCCTCCGTCAGTGTCAGCATCGTCATCTTTGTCCCTGGGGGGGTGGGCAGCCTTTGCTGCCTTCACCGCTCCACTCCCTCCCTCCAGCGCACAGAACTCGAGGTCAGGGGGTGAGAGCGGCTCCTCAGGGTGGGTGGGTGAAGACACGGGTGTCGTCGTGGTTGTGGGAGTTGCAGGTCTTCGGGCTTGGAGGGGGGTCAGGGGGGGCCTAGTCTATTTGGGCCCAGAGACTCTAATGGAAAATCCATTCCGCGTTTTTATTGCAACTCAACTTGTACTGTAATGTATTTCAATGGAGCCCATGCAAGTCAATTGGCATTCCAGGCTCCCGTTGTTTCCAATGGGCAATCCTGTCCTAGGAGTTGTTCTTTCTAAACTAAAACCTCAGTATTCAGGTTAAATTGCCATGTTGGCACTTTGCGATAAATAAGTAGATTTGGGTTGCAGTTTGGGCACTCGGTCTCTAAAAGGTTCGCCATCACTGTTCTAACGTATCCATAGAAGTAACTGGAAATGAACCGTTCACGGAGGTGGACAGCTCTGCACCAGTTGTCTTGCCTCTGATGCCAGCTGTCTTACGCAGCAGCCAACCAATTGCCTTGGAGAGCTAAAGAGGGCGCAGAGGCCAAGGCACCGATGGACCTTTTCTCCAAGAATCGGTCTAACCTTCTTTTAAAGATATCTCTGTGCTCGGCCATCACTGTGGCAGTGAATTCTACAAATGTAATTACTCATTGAGGGAAACAGCACCTCCTTTTGTGTGTCCTGAATCTACTTCTCCTCACCTCCATCAGATGCCTTCAATTTCTAGTATTATGTGGGAGAGGAATAGCTCTCGATGCACAGAATAGGGAAAGGGAATGATTTTGTAAACTTCTCCTTTCTCTAAACTGGGAACAGATTTTAAAATTACACTAATTCTCTTGTTTACAAGAAAGTAACCTTAGGAAATATGGGCTGCAGTGGCTCAAGTGGTTACTGGACTGCAGACCGGAAGGTCGGTAGTTCGGCAGTTCGAGACCCGAATGCCACATGACGGAATGAGCTCCCCTCTCTGGCCCCAGCTCCTGCCAACCTAGCAGTTCGAAAGCAAGAAATTGCAAGTAGATAAATAGGTACCACTTCGGTGGGAAGGTAACAGCATTCCGTGCGCCTCGGCATCTAGTCATGCTGGCGACATGACCATGGAAATGTCTTTGGACAGCATTGGCTCTTCGGCTTGGAAACGGAGATGAGCACCACATCCCTAGAGTCTGATTCAACTGGCTTTTGAGCAAGGGAAACCTTTTCCTTTACCTAACCTTAGGAAAGAGTAATGCCTTAACTCAGAAAAGCCTTAAAAATTCAGTTCCTTCTTCCAATCTATCAAAGTAAATTAAGAAGAATTGTCTTTAAGGGGAAAAAATTGTAAGAAATACAGCAGTGTATGTCATGTTAAAGAACAGGCTGACAGGATTTATTATGGTATCATTCAGACCCTGTGATATATCAAGTAGCATTTGTTTTTCATCCATCATAAAGTCAGTTCAGAAGACAAGAACTAGAACAAGACTTTAACACAGACAACCCCAAAATGCTGTATTCAGCTGTTTGAAGGAAGACTAAGGGCACTGGAAAGTCAAAAGCTGCACTGGGAAAAAGTGAAGGCCTCAACACTATAATCTTACACTTGCCTATCCCAGTTTGCACAGGATCAAGCAGCTAGAAAATCCAGATCCAAAAGAATCTTTTCTATAGCTTCACCAGCCCAAATTTAATAGTGTAAAAAGCTTTGATTTTTCCATATATGATTTTTAAACACCCAAATACCTTTTCAACCTTACTCAGAAATCTTCCCATTGGAGGCCTCAAGTTTCCATGCAAGCTGCTGACTGGCATCGTAGGACAATAATCCATCATTTCACCCTCTGCTGTTCTACTAGAGTTCCTCCATTTTCTCATTTAGCAAAACCATGTCTTGCAGATGTAATGCCAGTTAGGG